GGCCCGAACTAGATGTACCTCTTTTCATTCCAAACTCTTTGTTCACCCCAATCCTCTAGTTCTGACATCCCTCCGAGGTGTCTGAAAAGAAGATGGCCAAGGGACCTCCTAAATTAATTTATCTTTGAAGCGTTACCATTGGGTAGCTTCTTCACATGTACCTTCATGTTATATATTCCTATAGCAAATTTACTGGTTGTATATATGTTTACAATTGTAAATTTCAAAAAAAAAACTACTCTAGAAAAAATAATGTAAAATATTGTTATAAATATATTTCTAACGTTTTTAATTGGTATAAGTAATATATCAAAAATCATAAAAATTTGAGACCAAGAGGTGGTCACTAGAAAATATCGATTTTTTTACTATATTGAAATTTTGAATCGATTTGTTGGTATTGAAATTATCGATGGTCTAGTGGTGATTTGAAATGGAATTAGCCAGGTCAGTGACGAAATTTACCATAATCACAATTTTATTTTTCAATGTTAACCACAATATTATAGTAATTCGTTTTATATAGTTATCGCTTCTCTGTCCAGCAATAAAACATTAATATTCATGTTTATCTTCCTGCTGCTTTTTTATTAAGATGAAATTATATTTTTCTCTTAGTTTTCAGGTTTAATAAATATGTATTAAAAAAATTCCCTGTATTTTTGTTTGTTATTTATCGACCAAATTCATCTAAATTATAAAAGTTGATTTATTATTATTTTTTTTAATTTTTAAAATTAGTTTTGGAATAAATCTTAAACAGGGGTGCAAATCCTCCTCAGTTCGATGGCGAATGAACTCCCCCTATCCTTTTTCAAAATATTTTATTGTTCTCCTCTTTTTAATAACATAGATACTCAGGTTTTGGGGTTAATAGGATTTTTATATGATCAAAAAAACCAATAGTAAATCCTACACAGTTTCAAACTAAGAATATATGAATGAATCAAAATTTCAAAATTATCTCTTAAGGAAAAGTGATAAGGAAACCTTCCTGAAACAAACACTCTGACTTGCACCCATTAAAAAACCGCTGCAAATTATTTCACTATGGTTTATTATTTTCAAACAATGATACATCTATAGTAACATTACCTTCCTAGTGACAAAGAAAAATAAATAAAAAGTGATCCCAATTATTTGACTAAACGTTGTTTCTTTTTAATCATTAGTAATATGCTAAACAAATTAGCATTGCTTCAGTATCGCATTCAAAAACCAAAACAAAGGATACAACCTTTGCAGTGTAACCTATAAAAAATATCTAGAGACCATACCTTTGCTCCTGATTACCCGATTTTAATGTGTTTTTTTTTTAGAAAATCCCGTGAACTTTTAAATAACCATATTGAGAGGAGGTTAAGTTTTTGAATTTTTTGTTCGATCACAATGGTAGATTATTGAAAATAATAAACCGAAAATATATAAAAATCACCATATTCTTACTAATGATGCTTTTATTTCGATGAAACTTTCTTCATTTTTTAGGAAATTTAAATACCTTGGAAATATCTTATCACAATATGAACAAAAAAGTGTATACTTTTCGAGTTATTTGGATTCTAATTTTACCATCCCTCTTAACTTTTTTCCAGCTCCTTTTAATGTATATTATATAGATAAATTTAAAGGGCATCGAGAATAAGATTTTGGGGAAGTTTCATTGAAATCGGTACATTCGTTTAGGCGCTATAGTCTATAGGAACACAAGTTTTTCGGTAGCCATCTTGAAAGAAAAAGGCGGATAGAAGTGTCGATGAAGGAAGATCATCCTCGGGTGACCTTTAATTTTAGAGCCAAAATGGAAAAAAATCAGTCCAGGAGTTTCGGAGACAATGCACGGGCGGCAGACGGACAAAAAAAATAATATTCGTTTTTCGAATTCTACTTATTCTGAAACGTAAAACGTCAACTTTTGAGGGGGGGTTAAGTTTTTGAATTTTTTTTTCGATCACAATGGTTGATTATTGAAAATAATAAAATAAAAAACTACCAGTCGGCCGGCTATTTTAGTATAATATTACTTTGAAGTTCAGAGATCACCCTCCTAAATGTTTTAATTGGTAATCTAAATTATCGTTGTGGTCCCCAAAGCTTATTACCTGTCAATGAGTTGAAAACTGTCTACTGCTAGAACAGTGCATCTTACTGGTACATTTGCTTATGTCAGTTTTTCAAATTTGGATGGCTACGATATTAATTATATTTAACAATTGGGGCGTACCGAAATGGCAAAGAGCATGAAGAAGAAACAATGGAGGAAAAATCTTGGAAAATGTGAGCAACTTAGCATAGCGAGAACAGAGAGCCACTTGAATAAAGGAAGGCCTCAAAAGGAGCTTTAATTACAAAGCCCTAACAGAGTGCAACTAGCTCCAGCGCTAAAGGGGATTATGTCATGTTCATCAAAAACATGTTTTTATTTTTTCATTTACTTCCTTGATTCTTAATTTTTTTTAAATAAGGAGGTTAAGTCATGTGAAGTAAAATTTCAATTTCATCATCCTAATTGTTTCTCTCAATATCTTATCTTTAACTCTGCTCGAAAGTTGTAAGATCAGATTCTCCGATACTTTTTTAAATATGTATATTGAAATTGCTGGTAACGACAAACTTTTCCATTCAAACCGTGAGCATCTGCTTCTCTTAAGCCTTTAATTTATGTACATAAATATATTATATTGTATAAAACGTTTAAAAAGAATAAGTAGGATATAATGGCATGCAGCCGTCAAAGTAAACTATCTTTTAGATTTGAATGTTACGGTGAGAAATCGATGAACTCTTCATGTAGATCGATTATTAATTTTCTTTCCATTTATTATAGAAGTTGTTTATTTAAGACATCAATTAAGTTCATGTTGGAATATCAAAGTATTGAAATTAGCGCTAACTTTAACTGCTTAAGTAGCATATCTTCAGATTGACAGGAATGCAACATAACATTCTGATATTGTTTAACTTTTATTTCATTTTTGTTGATTCTTAATTTGTTGCAATTTATGATTGAAGCTATATTTCATCATCCTGATAATTTGTCTCAATTACTCACCCCGTTAACCCTGCTCAAAATTTAAAACCGCTGATTTTCCGATACTTTTGCAAAAATGTATTTGAAGCCTCTGGTTATGACCGATTCGGTGAAGCCAAAGTCTTGTCTGGATTTTCAAATTTTTTTTTCTAAAAGACATTTCAGAGGGCGATTTCCAAGACAAAAGACAAGTTTTTAATATTAATCATTAAAGTATGTTTTAGTGTACTAAAAATAAAAATGTTTAATATATATTTTTCATTTAATTAAGATTAAACCATTTTAATATTTTTATCAGCTGCCAATGAAATTTGTTTAAAAATAAATAAATTGATGGTACAGCATTAACATTGGCCAATTACTGAAGACCGATCAGTGTATGTGTGGGGGGACGGGGTAGGAGTGAAGTGAATTTAATCATTACATTTTGTAAAAAATGAAGCTTTAGGAATGTGTGTAAACCAGGAAAAGACGATATATATGCGAGCAGGATCTGAAACCAAGACCACAGTATGAGTACCGATGGTTATGGGCCCATTTACGTTCCACAATGTACACCAGTTTACTTATCTGGGAGCTATTGTAAGCTGTGGAAATAGAATATCCCTGGAGGTCAACCAGCGAATAATAAGGGCAAACAGGTGCTATTTTGGCCTCAGTAAATACCTTGGTAGCTCTATCATGTGCCATCATACAAAATGTCTCATATATAAGACCCTCATTAGGTCTGTTCTCAGATATGGATCGGAAAGCTGGACCCTCTCTAGCAAAGAAGAAAAAGATTTACTAATCTTTGAAAGGAAGATCCTTCGGTGAATCTTTGGACCTGTTAAGGTCGTAGATGGCTGGAGAAGGACTAACAGTGACGTATATGATCTGTATTGGGAGAAAGATGTATTGAGGTGCATCAAGCTTGGGCGACTACGTTGGGCTGGCCATGTGGCCAGAATGCGAGAGGAGGAAGTCCCAAGGAAGTTGATGGGAAGCTCTGCAGGACAAGAGGGAAATGCAGACCACGTCTAAGATGGGAGGACGCCAGAGAATTATTGCATACCCGCAATTGGCGAGTGACTACGCAAGATAAAGCCATCTGGCGAAGGGCCATTGAGGAGGCCAAGGACCACACTGGTCTGTAGCGCCATGGAGTTAGTTAGTTTTTGTAAAATTCAAGACCACCAAATTACAAAAGAATATGCTAAGACTATTTCTCCTCTAAACGTTTAAAGTTTTATGCTACCCTATGTTAATATTCTTAAACTGAAACTCAAGTTTACAGAGGCTCGTGAGGAGACCAGTTATTAATCTTAACTCTTTCCTTGTCAAGTTCAGGTAAGATCATACCTTTGGCCTAAACAATTTAATAAAAAGTTAGGATTATGGCATATATACCAAGTTTTTATTAGTAAGTTTTTATTACCAAGTTATTTTTATTTTTTATGATTCAGTTTTTTCAAAGCATTGCAGCGATATTCTAGGTATATTATGATTGATGACGAGTCGTGAGTTGTGATTGTCTGCTGTCTGAGATAGAAATTTTTTTTCTTGGTCCCATTTTAAACTTTTCTAGAGCATCTAGTTCTATTAGATGTATTCGAGTTTGGAGAACTGTTGGGTATGATCCTAAAGCAATGGTTTCTCGCCATTTATGTACAAACACTTTGTTTGGCATCTCTTTACTGATATCACCAGTTGTACATGTATGTTTATACTGTTTTCTCTGAAGTATACTTTATACTCCTATAGGAGAGCAAAGCATTAACAATTTTATTTCGTATCGGCATTACATCTAATACTCAAAACATAGAAGCTTGAACAGTGAGCAAGGGCAAAACTGATGGAATTACGAATCCAGAAGAAGTCTCCATATGAAGAAAACAAAGTTGAGTTAGAAACATGGTGAACTTATCAATATGATATTGGAATATAGAAGTGTAATGAGTTATGCTAGTGAAGGGAGAGCGAAGCAAACCCTTTGGCGATTGGTTACCCGACTCCCTGGTTCCTCCCTTGACACAGATGCCGAAGCCGTGGCCGGAGTCAGGCGGCCCCCGGCTCATGTTGATGGTCCTGACGTGGGGGTCCAGGAGGGACTGGGGGGGCGGCGGCGGCTCCCGGTGCGGCCTCGACTCCCGGCTGTGCGGCCTGCCTGAGCCCAGCATCCTCAGCACCTGCCAACAACCAATAACAATAAGTAGTACAATGTCGCAATAATAATAATAATAATGAAGAATGACAAATGATAATTTTAACTAAAATGGCTAGGTCACTTACTGAGTAGACATCACTCAATTTTCATCTTCTGAATACTATTTTGGTATTTATGGTTCGAAAAAATAATCAATATTATATCTAGTTTAACATGACTGGTCCCCGCAGGTAGTTCCATTACCCACTTAATTAGGGCTAGAGGAATATCTAGTAGGAAGTATTTAAAACATTTGTCCAAGCGAAAATCCCTATTAATAACATTTAGTAAATTTTTCTCCTTTGCGGTTTCATTATTACAGTCATTCGCCAAACCTTCCGTAATCAATCAGAGGACAGCATATATATATTGCGCATTACGTTTTGTTTTCGGAATCTCATGGGATACGCATATTGCCCAGTATTGCGCTCCGCAACCTGACACAATCCACAATCCGACGAGCCAAATCTACCTATTTCCATGAAGCCCTTTCTTCAGCTCCTGATTCCAAATCCAAATGGCTACTCCTTCGTAAACTCTCTCTTTGTGATCCTACCAGATCTCCTCCCTCTGCAGTGCCCCCAGTTTCATCAAATGACTTAAATTCTTATTTTATATCTGCTTCCTCTTCAACTCCTTCATTTCTCCCTTCCTTCTTTCCTCCTGGAACATCTTTCAATGACGCCGATTTTTATTTTTCAGATATTTCTCCCACAGACCTCATACCCGCCGTGATGAAATCACACTCTAATTCTATTGGTCCAGATGGCATTCCTGTCAAATTAATTAAATTATGCCTCCCTGAAATCCTTCCGGTACTCCTTTATATCTACAATTTTTCCCTTCAAAATTCAGTATTCCCTTCCTTGTGGAAAAAAGCCACAGTCCGTCCTTTAAATAAAAATTCTAATCCGTCGTCCCCTGAAGATTTCCGGCCAATCTCAATCCTTTCTAACCTTTCCAAACCCCTGGAGAGAATTGTGCAATCCCAAGTTTCCACCTTCCTTGAACAGTCCAATCAACTTGACCTTTACCAATCTGGTTTCCGACCAGATTATTCCACACAATCCGCCCTAATCAAAATCATTAATGATGTTCAGTCCGCCATTGATGACAAAAAACTAACCGTCCTTATACTCATTGACTTTTCCAAAGCCTTTGATTCCATCAACCACTCCATTCTCTTTTCCAAATTAAAATCATTATCCTTTTCCCATAGTTCTATCCTATGGTTTCAATCATTCCTTTCCCAACGCTCACAAGCTGTCGCTATTCCTAATCAACCCTTGTCTTCCTATCTTACTTTGTCCGCAGGAGTGACCCAGGGCTCTAGCATATCTCCCCTCCTTTTTAGTTCTTATATCAATGACATCCATAATTCAATCCTTCACTGCTCCCATCACCTTTACGCCGATGACTCCCAAATCTACCTTTCCTTCCATCCCTCAGAGTTGCATGAAGCGTTTGCCAAAGTTCAAGAAGACTTGAATCGGATCAGTGCCTGGGCAAACTTAAATGGGTTAAGGTTAAACGCTGCAAAAACTCAAGCCATTGTCATTGGTTCCAAACCCCTTCTCAGAGCCAATACCAACATACCTATACTGTACCTAAATGACCATCCCATTACCTTCACCTCCTCAGTAAAAAACCTAGGCATTTTCATAGACCAAACCCTATCCTGGAAACACCATATTGCTCACATTACCCGACAGTCAATTGGTACCTTGAAACTATTCCATCGCTTCCGCCATCTCCTACCCATCTCCACACGTAGACTCCTAGTAACTTCCCTCATCTTCCCCCACCTTGATTACGGCTGCGTGGTGTACGGTGGCCTCTCGGCAGAACTCGGGGAGAGACTGAAAAGAATTATGAATGCCTTCGTAAGATTCGTCACTGGGGCCCTGAGGTATTCCCGTGTTTCGCACCACTATGCTGAATTAGGATGGCTCTTCCCTTCCTTCCAAAGACAATATTTCCTAGGCACATTCCTTTACCAAATAATCAATAGTCATCGTCCGTTCTACGCATACAATCTCCTACAATTCAAATCATCTATCCACACCCTCTCCACAAGATCTCGTCCTTCTGACCTTTACACTCCTTTCCACAGATCTGCATCATTTAAACATTCCTTCGTTGTCCGTTCCACTGCATTCTGGAATTCCATCCCACTAAAAATCCGCCATGCGTCATCCTTTTATGCATGCATCATTATTCACCTTTAAAACCCTCTTATTCCAATTCCTCTTCACAATCCAATCAGACGCTGGTTAAATACATACTATGTTATAAGGATTTAATTTTCTTTAGACATTATGTTTTTCTTTTATTTTTTATTGTTTTATTCTGTGTTGAACGTGAATTTTCATCACCACTCACTAAGCATTGTGAGTAGATAAAATTTGTTTTCCTTAAGTTCTAATTTGTTATTCATGGAATGTATTTCAGTGAAATGTATTTTATTTCTAATTATCTTCAACATACTTCTCGCTATGTGTATATATATACTTTATTTTATTTTCTCTTCTCCTAATCTTTACGCATAATCACTTAAATATCTTAGGGATCATATGTATATCATTATTTGCTTTTTATATACTTTTTTGTTTTAGTTTTTACAATGTCTTTCCCTACATATTCACAGTTATTATTATTTTTTAAAATTTTTATATTCCATCACTACAATGCTTTACCTATAAAATAGATTTTACTTTCCTTTATAATTTCATTCAGTGATTATTATGCAATTATTTTAGCTCCAATATTGTAGTACTGAACCCCTATTACCCAACTGTCCTCGTTAATTTATCCTAAGAGCTTAATTAATACTTAAAGTATTACATGTATTTTGTCATTATTCATTGTAATAAGTCTTTTGACCAGATTTGTAGTTAATATATATGAACAATACTGTTATTCTAAAGGGACCTAGTCCCAGAATAAAGATGATTTTTCTATTTCTATTTCTATTGCACCGAGTTGAAATGGCTCTATGCATCCTATCGCCGTCAGTACTTCCTAGCCATTTTTCTGTACCAGACCATTAGAACCCATCGAGCCTCCTATATTTTTTACGCCTTATAATTTAAATACTTCATCCAACCCATCCCACTAGATCTCGTACTTCTGAACTCTATCCTCCTCCTCACCGAACTGCTGCGTTTGACAAATCCTTTTCAATTCAAGCCGCCTCCTTCTGGAATTCCATCATTGCTGATATTCAAATCGCACAATCACATTCCTATTTCAAACCTCTCCTCTTTGAACACCTACTCCTTTCTCAATCCGACTGATTACGAAATATACCTAAGCGATACTAAGTTTTAGGGTGTTTAAATTTTATTCGGGATGCCACCGGATAATTATTGATGATAATTACCCTGAAATGTTTCATAAAAATTAGTGATAAAAGATTAGTTAAACAGATTTGGATCTATAATATATTTGGTCCATGATTAATTAATTGGATTTCTTTTCTCAAAGGCTGGTTTGTATTTATCATGCTTCCTAATTACTAACATTAACTGTGATCATCTTGATATAAATAGGTGGCAGAATTAAAATAACTTTTACAAAAAAACTTAATTTATTTCTATGTTTAGTAATAAATTATATATAAATAACTTAGAAATCTCAATGTTAAAATACTATATACTATAATCTAAATACATGATTCGAAGAATTTAATAATTATATGTGATTTCAGATGGACTGTTTGAGAATATTTTAAAATTAGGATTGGCAATTACAACTTAGCTATTATGATATGAGAAGTGGTGTAGTGAGTAGATTTCATCGAAGCATCTGCTGATCCGAGATCATCTCGTCATGGTTCAAAGCTATGCCGGGATCATCATGGTCTATGTAGGGCTAAGGCTTCAGTCCCCAAGCCGGAAGAAAACATAAGTCCAATCCTCAAGGCCGGAACTCAACATAAGACCTATCCTCAAAGCCGGAAATCAACATCAGACCTCTTTTCTTACTTCTCGGGAGATTTTATAGAAATATTCAGGGGAGGTAAGGATGGTTTTCATTAGTTCTGAACTTCACAATAACTGGTAACACCCTAAAAGGAACCAGTTACTTAGGCCGTTACTAGTTTTTACTCTAAGTAGAGGCCTTCCATAGAGACCCTTGTCCTTAACTTACCTGCTCTCTACCCTTGACGCTGTTTTTGATGTCAGAAGTCGGTTTCATTCAACTCTTCCGCAGCCCCTATTAATTTTAAAACTCATTTGCTGTGTTCAATACTTAGCCGTGAACTATCTAAGTACTCCCCAGAGACTACTTCAATATATTTAGGTTATTTTAGTTTCCTATGTCTATCTTATATGTATGTACAATTTTCTTATATTTTTCTCTATCTTCTTATGTATTTTTATTTTATTTAACTCTTATGACCACACAGAAATGCAATCTGTAATAATAATTTTTTCTAAAGGGACAACAGTCCCAGAATAATAAAATATATTTTCATTTCATTTCATATACTCCCCCCAAGCCTGGTGATGTAATCAGTGTATTATCTTTGATTGGTCTTGAGGGTGGTTTCCTTCAGTTATACAACCACCGTCAACTAATTAATCTACCTTTTGTCAACAATTCGACTCAAAACCATTTGAGTTGGTGCTGCAATGTTACCTAACTTATGTTGTATGAGGACCTCTATGACATTTTGATTGCGACTTGGGTCCTTAAGTATCATCCTCAAGAATCTAATATCTGATGCCGATTACTTTTACGATGATTTAAAACGGTACAGCTCATGCTAGAAGGTAAACAATGTTTCAGACTAATAACTGATTATTTTCCTTTTGATATTATTATATGTAATGTAAATTTCTTTAATTAATTATTTTAAAAGTGTCTATTAGATAATTGAATATTAAAAAATCATAAGGTTAATATTGCCATCCAATAAAGCCGAAATTCTTTGCCGAGAGAGATTGTCCGCCACGGATAAAGAATTTA